CCGATTTCCTGGCGATTGCTGCCTTAACTTGAGCTTCCGCTGCAGCTTGAGCCTCGGCAATCGCAGCCCGTTTCGTGATGATCGAATCGGCGTTAGCCTTTACCTGGGCCTCCGTGGCAGCTTCAGCAGCAGCTGCAGAAGCTCTGGTTGCTTCTTTCGCCGCAGCCGTCAATTGTGCTGCCCTCTTCGTTGCCGATACAGTTGCCTCTGCCGCCTTTGCTGCATTGGTCAATAACTGGCTTGCTATCTCGCTGGCTTTAATCGCTTCCTCCCGTTTGGCAATGGCGGCAGCCAGAGCGGCGTTTGCTCCTGCTTCCGCAGCCTCTGTATTCTTGGACTGGGCAGCAGCGGCAACACTGGCAGCACGCGCGCCTGCGTTCAATTCCAGATTCAGGCCCACGTTCTCAGACGCTCGAGCAACTTTTAGGGCGTTTTCTATGGAGGAGCCAAACACGTCAGATCCATCGCCGACTTGTCCTGCTGCTCCTTGAATATCCACGTTCGACTTCAGGGACTGATTAATCACGCGGCCCTCGGCCAATCCCCAGACCAGCAGAGACGTGACGAATATTGCTGGAATCTTCATGTTCGACGCAGCTTTCCTGATTGATGCCGATTCGTAAAATCATTCACGGTTATATAGTGGGTGATGGGACAATTGTGAAAACAGCAGGTGTTTTGGATGAAAATTGATATGCTACACCATCTTAAAATATTGTTTTAAATAATCTTAAAGAGTTCGAAGAGAGAAAGAAGCTTTGTGGGATTTCTTTTTATTGAACTGTATTTATTTAGGTGCAATGATTGGTTATGCTTAAATATTTTGCTTTTGTTATGTATTATTCCTAAAATTCCTAAAATTTCTTTTGAGAAAAATATGTAATTCTAAATTGAATTGATCTTTCGATTTGATTTAAGAAATAAATGAATCAATATGATTGCAATAAGTTAATACAAATTTACAAATCTTTCTTTTTTAATTCATTTTTAATAAAATCTAATTTATTTTTTATTCTTTAAATATTATCGTAATTTATTTTTATTTAAATATATCTTTAAATTTTGTTGCTCAATTATTTAAAAATTAAATTTATTCAATTATTCAAATTAGTTATTTTTATTATATATGAATCTAGACATTATAAGTTTGAATTAGCAAAAAGTAAGTTTTTGTAAATAAAAATTATGAACAAATTGACAATATGAAGAATCTTCATTTCTTAACATTATTTTAACAATTGGCTATCAAGAATTACTTATTATTAGATATTTTACTTATTATTAGATTATTGTTAGATATTAAATCAGATATATTAATATTAATATTATTAATAATTTTATATATTTAAATATAATATATATAATATATATATAAATTTAAATATATAACAAAATATTTGTAATAATATTGAAAAAAAGATTATAAATAAAAATTAAAATTAAAGTAAATATTGATGGATAGTATTTCATACAAAATTTTAAATTATGGAAATAAATTTATTTTCAAAATATTTGCTTATATTATCTTATTATATATCGTTACGATTTTATAATCAAAATATAATAATGTATATTATAATAATAGATTATATAATACTCATAAGTTTTTTTGTTAATACAATTTCAAGTAGTAAGTTTTTCATCTATCTTTTAATAATTATCGAAGAATTATGAATATTTTAATTTCTTATATTAATTTTTAAATTTCTAATATTACCAAAAATACATAAAAAAAATATATAAAAAAAGTATATAATACAAATTGTTTAATTTTTATTGTTTCATGATATATATATATATAAGTTATATAGATATATATGATAAATTAATTTTATTCTAACCAATCGAAGAAGGAAAAAAAATATATAATTTTTTACATGTGAAATTTTTTTAAATGTACTTTATTTGAATATGTCAAACATTGTTGATTGCAAGATTAATCAATACATTTTTAATATAAATTTCATAATATGAAATTCAAAAATGAAAAGGAAGGAAATTTAATTTTTTAACTTGAAACTTCTATTGAATCTTCTATTTGAAAGAATAGAAAGGCAAAGAACATCAAAAGACTACATATATGCTAAACCAATTTATTTTCATTATTACAATCTTTGTCTGACTATAAACAACATTTTCTTCGGAAACATTTAATACATCCTATAACGGCTGAAATTTACTTTCAAACAAATCGCTTTTCCCGATATTTTATCCAATTCTTTCTAAAATACATTGCTCTTCAGCTCGAAGCCATTTAGATTTATATCCTCCTTTTTTCCTTTCGTAACCTCTTCATCTTCTCTCCATGATGTTGACAGTTCCGGCTCCGGGAATTTCTTTATTTCCACTGGAATTGATACGACTTGTTTCGAAGAGTCGATGTTAGCCCCGATTGTCGCCGTTTCTACGTTCCTGGAGCTTGCCTTGGCAGCGGCACGCGCATTAAGCGAAGTGGCTGCGTCGATTTCCCTACTCTTTTTATCAATCTCGGCGATCAATACAGCTACTTCGTTCCTGGCCTCGGATTCCGCGGCGTTTCTCGCACTGGCCGTGGCTGCTTCCTTCGAGGAGGCTAGAGCGGCCGCAGCAGCCCTTGCAGCAGCCTTTGCAGAGGCCGCTCTTGCGATGGCTTCTTCGGCCACTTTCTCGGCCTTGAGGGCTGCTTCCGCGGCTGCACTGGCCGCAGCCGCCAAGTTGGCTGCGGCAATCGCCTTGACCTTGGCTTCCTCTGAGGCAACAGCTTCAGCCTTGGCTGCTCTCTCAGCTATTTTCGCTTGTACCGTGGCTGTAGATAATGCGGATGCTGCAGTTTTGGCGGCGGTTGATGCTTCTTTGGCAGCAGAAGTGGCCGATGCGGCGATGGATACCGACTCGAGGCCAGCTCTAGCTTGACCGACCGCTGCCTCCTCCGTTTCCTTGCCTTTGGCGGCAGCCTGCGATTGCACTGACGCCGATTCTTGGCTAAGTTTAGCCGTCAGATCGGCAGCAGCGCGTGCCTCTGACGCGGCGGATGCAGCAGCTTCAGCTTGGAGTACGGCATCCTTCTGCGAAGCTAAAGCTACCTGTCCGGCTCTAAGTCCTGATCTAGCGGTCACAGCAGTCGACGCGGTGGCCGATGCACTACCTTTCACGAGCTCGGGCAATGAGTTACCCGACCCTTCCAAACCGGCGGACACAAATCCGCAAAGGTAGAGGCACGTTGCGAGCAATACTGGAATCTTCATGTTTGACGACGCTTCGCGAATTGATACCAGGTGTAAGACGTTGGACGGATTTATAGCGACGTTGACAGTTGTGAAAATAATTAATGGAGTCTGAGTCTGATTAAGCGTGATTAAAAATATTGTTTCAGGTCGCACTTTGCAAGTGATGATGATGATTTCGATGATATTTAGGTCGGAAGTGGATGTGTTTAATTAAGCGCTGTTATCGAGAATGGACAAAATCAATTTTTAAGACGCCAGTTTTAATGTAATGAGGAGAATGAATAATGAATATTTAAGAAACTTAAAGATAAAATTCTGATTTTAAATATTTATGATATATATTTATTTAGTTTTTAGTTTCCTTAGATTGTTTTTGTGAATTATATTTTTGTTATTTTTTTTGTACATTTTTTTTTATTCAATGTAACAAAATCAATGATGAACTGATACTTTTCTTATTTATCGTATAAAACTGTTATCATATAAGTAATATTGAAACATATTTAAATATTAAAATCAAATAAAATTTGCATAAAAATTTGCATAATGTAATTATATAATGTATATTTTAATAATTCTAATTTTTTAAATTTTTTATTTAAAATTTTGAACAGATATTTATTTTTTGATATTTACATTAAATAATAATGTTTTTGCATTTATATTTAATTTATATAAATAATTTATACAATTTTATATTTTTTTCATAAAATATATAAAAATTCAAGAATCATCAAATTTTATATATTATATATTAAATTTCATTATAAAAAAAATTTTAGAATTAGATAAGAATTATCTTATCAATTTTGAAATAAAATGTATTTAATATGAAAGAAAGTTATTGTATATTTATAACAATATAATTCTTTATTCAATACGAATCAATTTAAAAAAGTTATATTCATATTATATATAATATATTTTAAGTTTCATTTCATTCTTTCACGCAAGAAAATTCTTATGTATTCGTATTATTCGTATTTCGTAAAAATAGTACAAAAGTTTTCAAATAAAATAAATTATATTACTTTAACTGATGCATATACTTTATTGATAAAATAAATCCTAATATGTACATTATATACAATAATTTAATTTTTCAGTTTTTATTTATATCCAATATTTTCGTTTTATTATTTTCTTTCCATTTAGCAATATTTTTTAATTTTTATTATGATACATATCAATTCAGAAGGATTTAAGGGAAATGAAATAATAAAAAACAACCTCCTCAATGCTACGTGACATTATATTTATAATTCCTCACATTTCTTATTTAAAAAAAAAATCAAAACATCGCCTTTCCTCATTCTATATCTATGATTTTCAAAATAATTTTTTATAATCTCCTCCTATTTTCTCTTCTCACTTGTCTCGATTCTCAACCACTTTCGTCAGTGTTTCTGCTTGTTGCGCATTAAATTCAGTCACAGACGATCCCAATCCGATAACAATTCCATTCCTCACAGCTTGAATTGGATTCACACGAGCCGCAACTGCCGCCTCAATGGTCGAACCTTCAACGTCCGTTATCGCCATTGCGGCAATTTCCTCTCTAGCCGCTGCATTCGTTTCCACCAACGCCGTCTCCGCTTTTGAAATCATACTTTCCTGTAGGCTGGCCACATTATCAGCAAAGTTCTGATTATTTATCTGTAAACGTGCTAAATTATTAGTGGAAGTAATAGCAGCCGCAGTCGCTTTATCAGCTGCTTCTATAGATGCTTTCGCCCTCTTAATCGCATTTTCAAGTATTGCCGCTCTATATTTCGCATAATCGATAATAGCCCCTTCTGCAGCAGCTGCTTTCACCGCCTGATTGGTTATAGCAAGCGCTTCAGCTTGCAAATCCGCTGCAACTTTCGAGGAAATTTTAGCTTGTTCGATCGCAACGCTTAGAGCGTTAGCCAAGGCTTTAGCATTGCTAGAAACAATTGATTGAATAAGAGTAGCTTTTTGAGCAGCTAAAGCCTTCATGGCGGCATTTGCTCGAGCCATGACAGCAACTCTAATTGCCTTCGCAGCTTCCCTGGCGGCTACACTAGCTGCTAACGAAGCTTCCGCCGAAAGCTTCGCTTTTTCTTTTACCTCTTTGGTAATCGCAATTTCCTCTTCAAACTTGGAACGAGCGTCGAGTATCTTTATAATTTTCGATTGTAACCGAGAACGAGCTTCTTTTTCCACTTTTGCCTTCGCTTCCGCCTGCGCAGCCTCCTCGGAATTGGCCTTCGCTATTGCTCGAGCTGCAGCCAAAGCTTTGGATTCCGACGCCACTAAAACTTCCGCCTTTGCTCGAGCTTCTGCTTCTTTCTCAGCCTTCAGCTGTGCTTCTCTAAGGGCCTTTAACTGAAGTTTCAATTGTCGACGAAGTTCTGCCACTTCTGCTTCAATTTTCGCTCGTGCTTCCGCTTCCGTTTTAATCTTAGCTTCTGTCTTTATTTTTTCTTCTTTAAATTGAATTTCCTCGCTGGAGGGAATATTCTTCAATTTGTTTTCTTCGCTGGTCCAGCTCCATGTTTTAATCACTGGGCCCTTTTTCACATATGTTTTCGTAACAATCCCTTTATTCTTTTCATTCGCCGATTCTTCCTCGATCTTATCCCATTTAGAATTTGTAATCGTTGCGGCTCGTTTAATC